CACACACACACACACACACACACACACACACACACACACACATATAATTTTATAAAACCCAATCCCTTTTCTTCTTCGCCGACACAGAGAAGCTCCACCGCCAAGTGTCCATCATCATGAAGGACCCCAGCAGCGCTCCCGACGGCGAGGAGGGGGACGTCGACCCTGGTGCCACCTCAGGCGACCCCGAGGCCAACCAGCGCCTCATCAATCAACTCAGGTCACGCATCGCTGACCTGGAAATCCGCGGGGAACACCTCATGGACGAGAAGGTGCAGCTGGAGGTGAGGATTGGGTGCAAATGGGGCAGATGGTGGAGATGGTGCAGGTGGTGTAGATGGAGGAGTTGGTGTACATGCTGAAGATGATGCAGGTGGTGGAGATGGTGTAGATGATGGAAGAGATGGCGTTGCTGAACTGTTATATGTGTGTGTGTGTGTTGTACGTATATATATATATATATATATATATATATATATATATATATATATGTGTGTGTGTGTGTGTGTGTGTGTGTGTGTGTGTGTGTGTGTGTGTGTATTTATATGTATATATATATATATATATATATATATATATATATATATATATGTGTGTGTGTGTGTGTGTGTGTGTGTGTGTGTGTGTGTGTGTGTGTGTGTGTGTGTGTGTGTGTGTGTGTGTGTGTATTATCTACAGTCACAAAAATATTATCGTTACCTCTGTGTTCAATGAAGAACTGAACATTTCTCTCTGTTAACACATGATTACGGTGCTAACTACCTTGCCTCGCTATGCCGCACCACTTTTTCATTTTAGTTTGTGAAAAGGGTAACGATGCTCATGTTTCTGTACGTATGCAATTATGTCTATGCTTTCTATATAAATCAATGCATGTGTATATATCCATAGAACAGATAAAACACGCAAAAAACAAACGAACACACACAACACCCAATCACCGAACCTCCCGTCGAAAAGATAAAACAAATAGATAAAAAAAAAAATAATAATAACATAGATAATAATAATAACAACAATAATAACAATAATAATCACCCTCATTCTCCCTCCATCCCAGAGAGCCTTCAAACTGCACAAGGAACAAGAGACCGAGATCGCCGAGTCCTTAGTGCAAAGGATCCGAGAACTGCAAGATGCCGGGGCGGAAGTCAACATCCAGACAGTGCAATGCCAGACGGATGATGTCAGCTTGCCCTCGGAGGACAGGTATGGCTCAGGATGTCGGTTTATTAAGGGTTATAGGCCTTGATGTTTTATGGAAGGAGCGGTCTGGTGTTCACCGCTGGATGATGCGTTATTGTTTCTGGGAATTTTTAGATTTTGTTGTTGTTATTACGTTGTTGGTCTTATTTTTGTTTTGTTTTTTGATTGTTTTTCTCGTGGTTCTGGTTTTCATGAAGTTGGTTAACTTTGATATTCTATTTTGGTTTTATTACTGTTATTCTCGTTGTCATTACCGTAATTATCGTTAAAATTTTTATTATTATAGGCATTGGTATTGTCAGTGGTTAACTTAACTATCAAACAATCAACTAAAATTACATAAATAAATGAATAAATAAAAATTCCACGTTTATTTGTCATGACGTCATCACCCGTCATGGCGACCGCTGAGAGGACTTACGCAACTGACCTTCCTCGTATCTTTCTCAGCGTGGTCGTCCTCGAGGAACCTCCCGCCGAAGTGTTCCCCGAGGAGCAGGAACCCAAGGAGGAAGCCACGAAGAGGCCGGAGAAAGTGGAGAAGGCGGTGGAGGAGGAGAGGCGCGAAGGTCGTCCTCGAGAGCATCGTAAGGTCAAGAAAACTCCGCCCAAGAAACTCCAAAAGTTGCATAACCTGACGGGTGACCTTCTCTTCCAGGTGCTGTGACCTTTTTAGTTATAATAATAATAATAATTTTTTTTTTTTTTTTTTTTTTTTTTTTTTTTTTTTTTTTTTTTTTTTTTTTTTTTGTGGCGGATGTACACCTGAGAAATTGTTGATGATTGATGGTCTACAATTTGTTTAAAATTACATCATAGTATTTCAAATAATCATCACCAACGATAATCAAATAATTATCACTACAAACCTGTCAATTATCCAAAGATTATCATTACAAAGTCCAGTTCGATTTTAGGTGAATTTATGCCAAATGAAATTTATTCAACAAGTTTTGTTTGTTTGTAAAAAAAAGATAAGAAATAATTCGAGACGTTTCGATTGACTAAACGATAATCTTTCTCGGTTTTATCGCCTGACAAGGTACGTCATCATTTATTTTTTTCATTCTTATTGTAGCTTTCTCATGTTATGTTGCATTCCCTCCGCCTTGTCCAGACCCGCGTACTAAAAGATAAGAATGCAACATAATGCGGCGATCGCTTTAGTTGCGATAAGAGAGGAAACGTGGAAAAAATAGTTTTAGAATAATTTAATTATTGTGTCCCTTCATTTCCTTCAGGCCAAGTGTCTCGAGCAAGCACTGGTGACCAAGCACGGCTTGGATCGCCGAGGTGACCCCCAGCAGCCCCGAGGTCACGGCCACCGGCAAAGGAGTCTGAGAGGCCGGAGTTCCCTGAGACTCGCAGGAGACGTCGGGGCGCCACAGAGGAGCCACAGAAACTCCTCCGCCCGGACGTGGTCTTCTATCGAGGCAATTACGTCCGTTGAATCCCCGCAGGTGTGTTGTGGGTGTTCGTCTGTGCCTCTGTGTGCGTATGGGCGTGTGTGGAATTCATATCTAGTAAACTGTAAATAGAACAGCGAAGGGAAGGGACAAGAAAACATAGGAATATGTCGAAGGCCTTTTCGCGGTATTGCTCCCCCATGCCCTGAAAAGCCCTTCGGCATATTCGTGTGTTTTCTTGTTCTTCTCCTCGTTGTTCTATCTGTAATATGATAGTGTGTGCGTATCTGTGTCCTCGCGTTCTCTGCTGAATCGCATCGTCCTTGAGTGATTGACCAAAGTGCTTTTAAGATATCAATAAAAAAATATCCTAAAACACAAACCAGACTGTTGTTCAAATACCCAACCTTTCCCCAGGACTCAGGCATATGGGAAGCGGGGACCGGCGCAGGATTGGAGTCCTTCGGAGCGCCGAGGTCCTCCAGGGGTCCCACGGCCTCCACCACGAGCATCGACCCCCAGGACCTGTTGGCCATGAACGCCGAGCTGAGCCGGATGGCCAAGGAACTCAGGCTCGAGATGATGAAAATGTGGAGTTATCGGGGTACGGACGTCGGCTGACCTTTCTCATTTGGGTTTATTTTGTGACCTTTTTTTTAAATTTGGTTTCGTGTTCTATATCTATATAACTTTCCGGTTACTGGCAGTTGACAACTTATTGTCCTTCATAAGGTATCATTATTAGTCTTCGCAATATAAGTGATGTATTTGACCGGTTTCGATCGTATCTCCGTCAGAAATACCTCTGTTGTATTGTGAAGATATCTATTCTCATTCATACCCTTTCACCTAACAAGATATACATATATATGAATTATTTTGTGAAGTCGATCAAATTGTTTCTTTCATCAACAGAATCAACTTCACCTGAGTCAGTGTCTTCTGAGACGATAGGACCTGAGAGTCTAGACGAAGCCAAGGTGAGTAAAGGAGAAGAAAAAAGCTAAGCTAATATCGAACGGATGCCTTAAGAAACCCACTATGTAATAAATTCGAAAGATAAATTCTCCGTCCGTCGAGATTTATTCAAGAATTGATCAGAAACAGTTCATTAGAACACGATTTCATTTCTCACTAGCCCGTCGACGACCAGTTGGTGGCCGAAGCGAAGGAGGTGTTCCAGAGCATCGCACTCCTGCCGAAGGACAGTACTCCCCCGTCGCCTCACTCGGGCAGGTCCCCTTCCAGCCGGTCCCATAGGTCGCCCTCCACCACCTCCCTCTCCAAGCGGCGAGGGTCAGCTGGCCAGGAGGAGAGATGTGGCCGAAGGAGTACCGAGAGAGAGCGGAGGTGAGTTTCGTCATTTGGGGATTTAAAAGGCTTTTGCTTTTTCACTCTTGAGGGAGGTAGAGGGAGAGAGACAGGGAGAGGGACTGAGAGGGAGAGAGAGAGCGAAAAGAAAAAGGAAAGGGACAGTGACAGAGACAGGGAGGGAGAGGGAGAGAGACAGGGAGAGGGACTGAAAGGGAGAGTGGGAGAGCGAAAAGAAAAAAGGAAAGGGACAGAGACAGAGACAGGGAGGGAGAGGGAAGGGAAAGCGAAAAGGAAAGGGGAAGGAGAGGGAGAGAGAGAGACAGATAGACAGACAGGGAGAGGAAAATGGGAGGGGAGAGAGGAGAGAATGAGGAGCAGAGAGAAGAGAAAGAACAGAGAAGAGAGAGAGAGAGAAAGAGAGGGAGAGAGAGAGAAAGAGAATGAGAGAGAGAAAGAGAGAGGGAAAGAGAGAGAGAGGGAGGGAGGGAGAGGAAGAGAGAGAGAGAGAGAGAAAGAGAGAAAGTTAATTATGCATTTTTAATAAGTGGATTTGGTTATTATCTTACTGTAAACACTGAATCCATTTGTATAATTGCTGTTAATCGACACTCCAAGACTTACAAGTGACTCACATCCTCCTTCCTCACAGCAGGTCAGCCTCGGGCACGCCGGTCAGGAGAGATTCTCATCGGCAGCGAAAGCGTCGAGAAGAAGAGGACGATGAAGATGACGAGGACGACGAAGAAGAAGAGGAGGGGCAACGGAAGGAAAAATCAGACCACAAGGACGCGGATATCAGTGTGTTCCTTCCCTCCGGCGCTACCTTCGGGGAACTTCTCCTGAGGAGCAAACAGCACCACGACGAAGACGAGTCGGCGTGGGAGGGACCTCGACGGCGCTCTTCCGACGGCCTCTCCACCGTCACGTCGGGGCCGTCGCGCTCGCGCTCGCCCTCGCCCAGCATCGCCTCCAGCGCTCCGTCCGTTGAGGTTTGGATTCCCCGATTTCTTTGTTGTTATTGATAAAAAAAATCTATATGGATAATTTATCGAAATAATGAAAGATGTTCCAGTGTTTTATTTCCCAGCAGTAGGACATACACACATGCACGGAAAAGTGCACACGCAAGTAACAGCGTACCATTTCAAAATAATTTCGTGTATCTCTCGCGCCCCTCCTCCAGGCGTCACCCAGAATAGATGAGGAGGAAGAGGAAAGCATCTCCCTCGCGGGTACCTGGAGGACGACCACCACCTCGACCACGCGATCGGGAGACTACGTCCTCTCCTCAAGCTTCGAGTGGGAGGAGGAGAACCCAGAGGAGAGAAGACGGCCCCGAGGAAGATGGAAGGCAGTAGTCGAGGAGGAGGAGGAGGAAGAAGAGGAAGACGAGAAGGAAGACCGAGAGACTCCCAAGCCTCAGGTGTGGACAGAAGCTCCCGAGGACACGAGGAGGAGCTTCGAGACGGAGGTGACCGTCGCAGCACCGCGTCACGGCAGGAGGGACCTAAGGACGCGACGTATTTCTGATACTCAGGTCAGGCCACAGGCACTTCCTTGACTTTAATCTACTTCCATCATATTTTAAATAGTGACCTATGAATGTGATCGTATTTGCATGATTGTGCCTGCCATTGCCAACTCTTATCGCTATGTCTTCGATGTCCACAGGTGGAGTACGAGAGCTTCGGCCACAACAACCGGGACGAATGTTTCGCCAACACTTTCAGCAGAACCGTGTACGACGACGAAGCCCTGGCGGCGGGGAGGCTTAGCCGGAACCCCTCCGTCCGCCGAGCCAACTCACGGGACGCCGACGAGTCGCACTGGCGGCGTCCTAGAACTCTTCCCTCGGTGGTGCTGGACGACCTCCCACATTCCGACAGGTCTCCCGACGTTTTCGTGCCCACCAAGAGAACCATCTTCACCATGCAGGGCAGCACGCGCAACCCGGACCAGGCCAGAGCCACGCCCACTTTCGTCGACAGCCAGGAGGAGGATGTGGCGGTCCCGTGGCGGAGGTCCAGGAGCCAGCCCGACACGCCGACGGAGAGCAACGGCCACAAGTCAAGGGAGGACTCGAAGGAGAGCAGCGCGACGCCTACTCAGGAGGACGTCGCGAAGCCTCAAGTCAAGGAGGAGAGAACTGAGACGAAGCCCGCGGAAAAAGCAAAGGACAAGCAGAGGACGAAAAAGAATGCAAACACCGTTCCGGATGTTACCGTCAATGGCGAAAAGGAAGCGAACAACGAAGAGAAGAAAGTAGAAAAACCAACAGATAGCACCGAAGCAAAGTTACGAGGGGGTGAGACAGTGTCAGATGCAGCTGCCAGTGAAGAGGTGGACTCGGAGATGGACACCATCGCCGCGGAATCGTTGGACGTTGTGCCGGCGCTGCGAGAGGGAAGGAGTCCGCGGTCCCCCCATAGCCTCACTCCATCGCCACGCCCGTCTGGTTCTCCCATCGGCTCCCCGCACCTGCACGCCCCCACTCCAATCAGCCCACCGATAGAGTCCAAGAAGAAGGTTCTGGAGGCAGCAAACGAGGGCGTCCCGACAGTCCGGAGCATAATTCAGAAATTCAATAAACGTATAACGGAAAATCAAGAACTCCTTGGAAGCCCTTTCAGGTCTCCGCCGATGAGTCCGCCGTGGCAGTCCCCGCGCTCGCAGAGAAAGATCTTGGCAGGGCTGGCCACGTGCAGCAAGCAGGAAGATGCTTATTCGTCCACTGGGGATATCATCGGCAGTCAGTCGGAACTGCCTCGCCCTATGATCTACAGCCCACCCACTGGAGTTCTCAAGTCTCTTAGCGCTTCGGTCATCACGACCAACGCTGAAATTTCTCCAAAAGTCACTCGTTCCGCCAGTGGTCCTTTCGTCCAGGGCAGCAGTCTGTTGATTGGCGCCTCCCCGAAGCCCACGGCAACTTCTTCGCCGCAGCACACACCAAATACAAGTGTAACCTCTGCTGCTGACGTTTGGGGCATTTCGCCGTCTGGAAGTCCTGCCATAAGTCCCGCTCCCACTGACCCCGATACTTCATATGATCTTGACGTATCTGTTGATGATTCTTTCCACGACCGAGCGTCAGCATCCCCGCAGCCGGACAACAAGAGTCCCTCCGCCAGGCTGCGTGCCATGAGAATCAAAAAGGCAAAGGAAGACTTCCTTGCCCGCGGCGCCGCACCGTTGAGTGCCGCCGAACAAAGACACAGCGGCAGCCAAGACGACCTCAAAATGCGGCACCGAAGCGGCACTGCCAGTACCGACGACACCTGGCGCGATTCCGACGAGCTTTTTGCAGGAGGAACGTCGCCCATGCCTTCGCCTGCGCCGACAGAAGAGGCGTCTCAGGACGGTGGCGACGCGCCGGACCAGTTACCAAGGACATCATCCAAACGTCGCAACATTCCAAAAAAGGAGTCATTCCGGAGGCAGAGCGCTGGCTGCCTGCTGGAAGAATCTGCTTCACAAAAACTGGCTTCACAGGTAGTCAAGTCGGCTTCGTCCGGAGTTCTCAGTAGTGGCAGGGGGAATTCCAGGTATTCCATAGATTCTCAGTCCCCGCTTGACAGGAAGGCCTCCGTCGACCCGTCCACGGGCTCTGGCAGGTCCTCTCGAGGGATATTCAGGTTGTTCAGACGTACAAAGAACCGCGACAAGAAAGACATGCCATCAGTGCAGAGATTGTGCCGACAGAGCCTGCTCGTGGACTTCGCCAATGGCAAAGGCCGCACCAAGAGCGCCTCCCCGCAGCCCTACTCGGACCTGCGCTCGCTCCCGGAAATGGAGGGCGAGGAGGTCCAGGAGATGGCTCGCTCCTCCAGAACGCTACCTCGAAGTAGCACGGGGGAGGTTGTGTCTCCAGCACCTTCTCGCTCGTGCCCGTCGTCGCCCGTGGCCCAGCACCGGTCACGGACAGCGAATTGGATAGCTCGAGGACGACAGATCTTCAAGAGTCGGTCTCCCAGTCCGAGCAAAAAGCCGCGGTGACGTCATACCTGAACTTACAGTGTACAGTCTCTGGTCGGTTCCTGGCAAAAGATACGCAGGCCCTTTCCTGTGGGCGCGAGGGGCGGGCTGTTTGTTACTTTTTCGTGAGCGAACTCCCCCTCAGATTGAGCCGTAATGAATCGACTGATATTTACTATCAGTGAAGATTTTTCAGCTGTAGTGCGTCATTACAATTACGCGATCCTCAATGAGCGACAGTAAAGGTTGTTTGAGGATCAATACATGAAAATGAGAAGAATATGTTTTCCTCGTGTTTAGGAAAGAATGATAAGTACACATGGAAGATAATTTTCCTAGGTCAGTTACTTTGATAGAACTCTCGAAGTATGTGGAATTTTGATGAGCAAATTGAGAGTCATTTCATAGAGTTCGAACTGCTCTATCATCTATGAACATTATCCACATGGCTTTGACTCTAGAAACTTTTTTTCAACCGATCAAAATCTTTCACACTTTCGAGACAACTTGTATTTGCGACGAAAAGGACCAAAAGCAACCATTTTTTTCTCTCTCTTCATGTTGATAGTGTCATTTATCTTCGTATGCAATATCACAGCTCCAGAATGTTTAGCTTTACGAAAGGTCCTGAAACCTGATTTCGACTTTGTGATTATCTGTGACAAAATATTCTTTGTACTTACGGCTTTTGAACTTACATGACCTCTAAGGCCTTAAATAAGTTTAAGTATAGTTATTGTGCTTATATTTTGTCTCGATGGCGTATCTAATCCTAAGCAGTGTGTTCGAGTCGTCTTTACTTAAGCTCATGTAAGGCTTTGGAAGCGGTATTGGAGTATATGAGTGTCTGTACTTGAACGTTTGTAAATAAAATTTCTAAACAATTTCATTTATGTCTTACTTCTTACTTGAACCTTATGTTATAAAAGGGATATTAAGAGGAAATAGGCAAATTACTTATAGATACACAGAAATACTAACGTTAACATTTGCATGAATACTCATGTGCATATAGTTAATTATTCATGCACGCACACGCACATACTGTGTGTGTGTGTGTGCATACATACATGCACACATACACACACACACACACACACACATGTATATATATATATATATATATATATATATATATATATATATATATATATATATATATATTTATATGTATGTATATATATATATATATATATATATATATATATATATATATATATGTATAGAGAGAGAGAGACAAAGATACATATATACATACATACATACATGTATAACATAAATAATTAATGAATAAGAAAGAATAAGAAAACGAGATGAATGAGGAAATTAAGAAGAGGCGAGAGCTGGGCCGTCATAGATGCAGCCCAGAGCCATGCCTAAGGAGAGAAAAAAATTAAGTAAAGTCAAGGAGAATATGATATGAAATAAGATAGAATAAATATAAGACAAGATAGAATAAGATAAAATAAAATAGAATAAATATATGATAAAATAAAGGAGATTTTTATTTGCATATATGCGTGGGTAAATATGTATATATATATATATATATATATATATATATATATATATATATATATATATATATAGACACACATACATATATATACATATAAATATATAAATATATATACATTTATGTATATATATACATATATATATATATATATATATATATATATATATATATATATACATATATATATATATATATATATATATATATATGTATATATATATATATATATATATATATATATATATATATATATATATATACATATACATAGAGAGAGAGAGAGAGAGAGCGAGGGAGGGAGAAACTTGTGTTTGTGTGTATATTCAGACAAAGGGCTCGGATATACACATATTTAGAGAGGTATACAGTAAGAACACATGGAAACCTACACATCGCGGCACTTGAGGGCCAGCCTCCCCTCCCCACAACCACCCACCCCCAAGGCCGCCCACCAGACGCGCCGCCCCGGAGCAGCAGCAGCGCCGCGCCATCTATTGAGCGAATCCGACACTACCTCGGCAGGAGGAGGAGGAGGAGGAGAAGGAGGAGGGGGAGGAGGAGAAGGAGGAGGGGGATGAGGAGGAGGAGGAGGAGGAGGGAGGTAGTTACGCCCCCTCTCCTCCTCTCCCCTCCTCCTCCCCCACCCCACCCCAACCCCTCCCCAACCCGTCCCCAACACGAGGCTCCACAACAACACCAACTTACCATATGATCAGCTGCTGTGGCTCTGCTGGTCGCCTGCTGCCCTCCTCCTCCTCCTGTCGTTTCCGCCGCCGTTGAAGGGGGAGAGAGAGGGGAGAGAGAGGAAGCGGGGAGAAGGGGAGAGAGACGAAGAGAGACGAAGGGAGAGAGAGGAAGCGGGGAGAAGGGAGAGAGAGGAAGAGAGACGAGGAGGAGGACGCCCTTCCTTTCCTTCCGCCGACATGGAGCTGGACAAGTGGCCCATCTTCAGCCTCCTGAAGCCGGAGTTCATTGAGAAGATGAGGATGGCCTGTGTCTTCGGTGAGGGAGAGAGAGAGGGAGGAAGGGAGAGAAAGAGAGAGGGAGAGGGAGAGAAAGAGGAAGAGAGAGAGAGAGAGAGAGGAAGGGAAAGAGAGGGAGAGGAAGGGAGAGAGAAAGAGAGGGAGAGGAAGGGGAAGAGAAAGAGAAAGAGAGAGTCTTTTTTAATGTTATTTTCTTTTTTTTTTCAGGGGTTTGTAATGCTTTATTTGGCATTGATTTCTTTTTAATTCCGTTGTAATCTTTTGGTTGGATTCTGTCTCTTTGTCATTTCGTGGTAAAGGTATCGTTTGATTTTTTTTTTTCTTGGTGGTTTTGGTATCTCGATTCCTTTTTTCAATTTTTTTTTATTTTGTTGTTTTATTTTCTTTATGGCATCGTGTTTATTAGTTGGGTTTAAATATTAGGATCGAATTAATGCCCTTTTTTTCGTATAGGTTAATGCTATATGTATATTTATTGTTGCTATAATGAAGGCATAGAAATAGACTCTCCAGAACAGAAATGAATATGTGAATGAATGGATAAAATAGAATAGGATACATGAATAAAAAAATAAATGTTATACAAAAAAATACACTAGTCATCCTGTGAAAGTAAGACCTGTCATAATCCGCTGATAAGAAATGACAGTTTTAAATGTCTCTTGATGGGTATAATTACTGGCATAATGAGATAATAAATACTTTTAGTAGTACTTTTTCTGTTATTGACATTTAGCGATTTATGTTATTTGGTTGTTAATAATGATAATTCGAGGCACTTTACCCAATCTGTGAAATATTGAAGATGTGTTTTATATGAATGTGAGAGGAAGAGATGTTAGATTGCTTTCATTTTTATTGATTTTTTTGTTTCTTCATTGTACAGTGTTCAGCTGACAAGGTTTATTACTTGCAAAAGGATAAATGTGACATGGTAACCTCATTATTTTGTTATCTGACAAGGGTTATCAAATAGCTCTTGTCATATTCAAGCAAAATAGAACTTGGATTTGTTCCTTGTTTGATGATAGATCACTATGCAAGGTGACAATATTTTAATGTAGAGGTATGTCTGCCCCTTGCCAGAAACTCTGAGGTTATGGCGTTGCTGGACAGAGTCAGGCGAGCATAGATTTGCCGACTTTGAAGCGCAGTTATGGCCACACCTTTTACTTTTTTGTGGATTATGTTTTGTTTTATATTTTCTTTAGGGCTATAATCTCTGGTTTTCTGTCGTTCCATGTTCTGAACATGCATCATGATTATATATCCAGTTTCAAAATGTTAGATAGTCATTTATGAGACATCTACACACCCAACACTGCATTTTTCAGTGGTCTACCAAAGGCTAGCAAACCTCCACTACATATATTGCAGCAAATTGGAACACGTAGAACTACCTGGTAATATATCATTAAGTAATAATCCACTCCGAAATCTTCCTTGCCAGAATATATATAGGTGCGTTGTTCTTTGCTAAAGTACAAAGTATAGAGGTTGCAGTTGTTGTCTGATGCTGTACCACTCTCATGATGGAATTCATTTTGTAGACCTTCCTTCGCGAATCACGTCAACTTTCTTTTGGATATAGTTAAAGCGAAATTAACACAAGCAGGATACAAGAGAAAATTCTCTTTCTGAAAGTCTCTGCAGGTGTACTCTGACATTTACCAACTTTTAAGAAGAAGTCCATTAAGTAGCTTTGGGTAAAAAAAAGAAAAAAGAAACTATGATGGATATTGAACTTACCATAAATAATATGATTTTTGAGTTTATGGACAAGGTCTACATAAATGTTCCATATAAGAAATCTTAGTCAATAATCCTCCAGTATCAGAGATTTAAACCAAGGTATTAATCTTTATGGTATGGACACACTATTCTAGGGTAAATTGAAAATGATATTTATATAGAGGATAAAAAGTTGCAGTCATCAGTTCAAGAAATAATCTGCAGACACAAACAGAAACGCACAAATAAAGAAAGATTTCAGAAAGCATTGCTCACAAAAGTTCACTCATTGCACCTGAGTTTCACCTTTATCTTGCTGTGTATATCAAGGTAAAGGAAACATTTGTCATGAGGTTGTTGCCCCCCCATCCTTGAATGCTCATTCACGTCAACTTGAACTGTTGAAAAAATTATGACATGACTTGGGGACTCTGGCAAGTGTGTCCGTATTATAAAGAATTACCTGTACCAGGATTTTTATGAAAGAAATTAGCTTTATAATAGAGAGACATAAACTTTATACCTACGCTATATACTCATTGATTTATATGTAACTGATAAGTACCACCAAGTATTAAAAACTATTAAAAAACAAAACCATTTATTTCTAAGTAGATAATAATTACAAAAAAAAACTTCCACTAAGAATACAAAACTCAAAATTTCAGGCAGCCTAGGTAATGAAGCCGTTATAGTAACCAAAGACGATGATGTTTATGCCCTGGGGTTCAATGGCTCAGGATGCCTTGGGGTTGGAGATCAGAACAGCACCATGGAACCCCGGAAGATAGAACCTCTCTGCCAGAAAAAAGTCAAAGGTAAGCGATTGGTTGAATTTTTTTAATGGCACTGGGTTTTTTTCTTCTTCTTCCTCTTCTTCTTCTTCTTTTCTTTTTCTTGTTTTGTCTTCTTTTTCTTTTCTTTACTTTTCTTTTTTTCATTTTATCTTTCTTGCTTTTTTTTTTCGTTCCCTTTTTCTTTTCTTTTTTTCCCATTTGTTTCTTTTCTTTTCTTTTCTGCTTTCTTTGCTCCTTTCATTTCTTTTGCTTTTTTCTTTTCATTTCTTTGCTTTTTTGTCTTCCTTTCCTTTCTTTTCTATTGTTTGTTCATGTTTGTTTATATATATATATATATATATATATATATATATATATATATATATATATATATATATATATATAATATATAATATATAATATATAATATATAATATATAATATATATATGTTTATGTATATGTACACACACACACACACACACACACACACACACACACACACACACACACACACACACACACACACACACACACACACATACACACACATACACACACACACACACACACACACACACACACACACACACACACACACACACACACACACACACACACACACACACACACACATACATATATACATATATATACATATATATACATATACATATACATATGCATATACATACATATACATACATATATACATATACATATACATACATATATATATATATATATATACATATATATACATATATGTACATATATGTACATATATGTACATATATGTCCAAAAAGATCTGTATCTGTGCTTTATTGATTACAGTAAGGCATTTGATAAAGTGAGACACCAAGAAATGTTCAAGATGCTGGAGGCTTTAGATATTGATGGAAAGGTTTTGCAATTAATTCAGAACTTATACTGGGAACAGTTGGCAGCCATCAGGATTGAAGGAGAAACAGGCAAGTGGTCTTCGATTAAACGATGAGTTAGATAGGGATGTGTTATGTCACCAGATCTGTTCAATTTATATAGTGAAGTCATCTTAAGAGAGATTAAGAACATGCCTGGTGTCAAAATCGGGGGTGTGAATATAAACAACTCGAGATATGCAGATGACACTGTATTTATAGCAGAAAGTGAATTCGATCTTCAAAACATCTTAAACAAAGTCGTTTTAGAGAGTCAAAAGAAAGGACTCCAGATTAACATCAAGAAAACAGAATGCATGGTGATATCAAAGAAAAGTATACCACCAAAGTGCTCCTTAACAATCATTGGAGGAAGCATAAAGAATGTTCAAAAGTTTAAATATCTGGGCAGTTTGATAACTTCAGATGAAAGATGTGAAAATGAGATAAAGAAAAGAATTGCTTTGGCTAAGTATGCTTTTGGTAAAATGAGTGCAGTTTTCAAGAATAGGCAGCTGCAAGTAAAAACAAAGCTTCGACTGCTAGAATGCTATGTGTGGTCTGTTCTAATTTATGGGTGTGATGCTTGGACTATCAATGAGAACATGAAGAAACAAATAGAAGCAGTGGAAATGTGGTTCCTAAGAAGAGTCTTAACCCATTCGCCACGGATTTATGTTCTGTCCCCTGTTGGTTTTGGTGAATTTTGCTACCTACAGATGGCTCCACATGTACTCAGCCGGCAAGGAGTCTATCAGTAGGCCCTAGTTACCGACCCTGATTTTCCCATTCATTGAATTGGCGGGAAAATTAATATCATTGCTTTCGATGCTGTTATTATTGTTACTGATGTTATGATGATTGAATTGTCATTAGAATATTTTTGACAATAAGATGATACTAAAAACCCTTTCCGAAAGTGAAGGAAAAGGCTAAACAGGTGAAATAGGTAGTTCTTGATAACTGGCTATTTGGTGATTAAGAACTTGTAGAGCCATCTAGGTGTAAATACAATAAATAAACGTGTATCAAAGTGGGTATGGCATCTATTCTTGCCAACCGCGGCGAATGGGTTAAGAATATCATGGACTGACAGAGTGAGCAATGAAGAGGTTTTAGAAAGAGCAGGAGTAAAGAGAAAGTTGATGAAGGTAATCAGGAAAAGACAAA